AACCGAGTTATCTCTCCGCGAGCTGTCGCCAGCTCGCCGAAAAGGGAGCGGACATCCCGCTCGACCTGAAGCTGCGCCGTGGCATAATCGGCGCGATCCCTCGCCCGATCAGCCTCGTGATCCTTGCGGTTCTTCCGCACGGTGTCGGTCAAAGCGTAGCGTCGGTCGCGCTCGTGCTTCAAGTCATCGCGCAATTCATCGATTGCGCGATCCATCTCGTAAGGGTCGAGATGGTGGGCCTGGGGTTCTGGAGGAGGTCTTTCCTCCTCCACCACATCCTTTGGTGGATGCTCACGGTGATCAACGCTTTCTAGTGGAGCGTATCTTGAATCACCGTGACGATTCAGGATCAAGGACGAGCTACCTCGTCCAGTGGCGGGGGTATCCACCCTCTTGGAACAGCTGGGAGCCCCGCTCTCAGCTGTTAATGGATGTTGAAGGTCTCGTCCACCAGTATGACGAGACCCATCCGATGAGTCCTCGGGCCCATCGGTAAACACGCGCCCTAGGCGCTTGTAGACGGATTGCAAGTTTGCAATCGCGTCACGCATCTCCTCCGAGAGATGTGCCCTTCCCCAGGGCGAACTTAGGGAGTACACATCCCTATGTGCACGCTGCGAGTTGTCAACACAACTCGCACAAGGGTCTCCCCGTGTGAGGCAAGGAATGCCTGCCTCGCTCGATAAACAATGCAACCGGTACCTAGCACCGGTTGGCGTTCGCCTTTCGAACCTGAGGCGTGTTGCCTCAAGTTTCTTGAGCCACCCTTCTCGTCCAAAATTCTTTACGTTTTGGACGAACGCGTTCCACGCAGCCAAAAGCGATGTTTTGTCACGCTTTTGGTTGCTATTGTACCATCGATGTCTAAGGAAGACATCGAGATAAAAATCTTCTTCAGCGCGAAAGTTCTTCGCGCTAGGACTCAAGCCGTGAAGCTCGGTTGCATCGAATAAGGGTATTCGATGGTGTTGGCCTGTCTCGTGAGACAGGCTATTGATGAGTTGTTCGGGCAAACGCCACGGCTTCAACTCATCACGCTTCACAGTGGTACCCTTGTCGGCACCACGGCTCCCAGATTGACGACGGCTCGCGCCATCGTCAACACGCTCGTGCGAAGACGCACGAGCCGGCGGTGGTGAAGAATAGAACTCACCACCCTGATCATCGTCATCACTGCCGAACAGACTGTGATGCGAATCACGAGTCCGTTCGTTCGGCAGTGGCCTTGGCGAATACTGAGGCGTCGCCGGTGAGCGAGACGCCTCTGGAGCATTGCCCGAGTCAGACACGTCTGACTCGCCAGAGTAGATGACCTCCACATCGGGGTCATCATACGCACGCGGCGTGATACCGCGTGCACCTGCAGCACCTGTTGCTGCAGGCGAAGAAGGGGCGGCAGACGACGAAGCGTCTGCCGCAGAGGCTTGCACAGCACCAGGCTGTGTGGGTCTTGAGTCACCTCGCATAGACATGCTAGCTATGCGAGGTCAAGCGGAAAGTGAGTGGAACGGACCAAACAAGTACTCCCTGTCCCAATGGTGGCCAACGGGTGGCCTCCATATTTCGATAGTCATACGGTGACTATCAGTTAAGGGGGGGTGATGTAACGGGGCAGCCCGTTACATGATATTGTCACTTAAGGAAAGTGACAATAAAGAATATAAGATGGATATTCTTTAAACAATATCACCAAAGTGGTGATATTGAAGGGTCGACCAAAGGGTCTGTTCATTGGTTGATATCGTGATGATATCAACCCACCAATCGCCGCAAGACGCGCGCAATGAGTGGTGACGAGACGTCACCATACATGCAGTTATATTAGTATAATTGAATTAAGTCAAACGAAGAGACAGTAGTTTAAAGACTTAATTCATTAATATAACAGTTCTACTTTTACCCTACCTACGCTTCCTCGCTTGCCACGTGTACGTCTGTCGGGGCACTCAAAACCCTTGCGTTAAGTTACGCAAGGGTGTGCCCCGTTACACCGTGGAACGAAGATTGAACGTTGAACCTTAAGGTCGGGCTATACTTTTCTCATTGCGGCTACAACACAATCTTGAAGCAGCATCTTTCGTCTTCGGAAGTGCCAAGTGGTGAGTGGTGTACATCTCCGCAGCTGCGAACAACGTGCAGTCCATATTGCAGCCACGCAGAGCGTAGAACATGAGCTTTCCCAACGTCTCATTTTAACTCGTCGCTGCTTTTCTCCTGTAACGACCAAAACTAGAGATCTAGAACCCCGTCGCGGAATTTTTTGCATGCTGGACATGTTGTTGCCACCAAAAGGCCAGTGCCGTCGATCCAGTCTGCGCCGTAAGAACAAGTGAAACGACCAATTGCATGATCCGACGAGCGAGTGAGCCGTCCATATACGGCTGACTACATTAGCCGGGATGCACATTGAATGCCAAGGGGTCAGCACGATTCTTGCTGCTGTTTATTGAGCCAAACACTTTATTGACATCCACCGGTCCACCGATCTCGAGAGATTGCGTATGTGGTTGCTACAGCCAAACGATCGGACAGGTTTCGCTCAATAGGTCAGACGTTGGACAGTACAGCGTCGACTCAGGGAAATGGTAAAACGTGCTGCCATTGGATCACTTCTCGGTCCACTTCATTTTACTTGGTAACCCTTCTTTACGCAGCGAGCACGTGCTGCGTCGTGTTGCAAGAATCAGTCGAACGTGTTCGATTACAAAACTGAGGAGTAGCTTCCGTCCTGTCATAAATGGCCCACAGATTCGCTCGTAGGAACAGCGGCTATATCGCAGAGAAGTCTTGACGTTTGTGCCACACTCGTAGGTGATATGCTTGACTGCATCGTTCATTCACGCTCTTCTTTTTTGGTGCGGACTATTGCGTACAAAAAAGAAGATCGTTGATGACACCAGGTACCTCCGTGGTCGACACGAACGTGTGCAAGCTAATTGATGTGGCAGTCGTCTTTTCGAGCGCTTTGAATCTTAATAAGGAACGATTGCACTGTCATTGAATTGTGCACTTCTCTGCAATCGATGGGGGTTTCTGCTGCAAGTTAACGAGCGTTTTGATTGAGATGTCACAGGTTGACTTATGTCATGACTCGGATTAAGAAAATCACCGGATTTTAGTTTTGTGCGAAAACTGGATACTCCTAAATTGTACTTTTTGTGTGAACCTACGAAAGTAACGCTAGCATGGTCAAAAAAGAAGCGTGAAGTGCCATTTCACGACCGATAGCATGACGCAATACAATCTTTTCGCAATCATGCGCTCCATACCCGCTTGTAGTTCAACCACGCATCGATATCGCTTGGCATTAACAACGAAACTGACCGCGGATCCTTTGCACTACCCTTCGAACACAAATGACGGTTGCGTCTGAGCGTCCACCTAAATGGTATACGGTACGTTTTTGTTCTTGCCCTTCTTAACAAATGCGGTAGCGAGCGACTCCGCTACTTCAACTACCACTGCACGGCAACCGACCGAAGATGTAGGTTTTGCCGTGCTTCCACCAAATGGTACTGGTAAGGCATCTCGACTAACTGGCAAAGCACTGAGCTTCGCACTTTGCGCATTTCACGGTCACGGAAGCAATGCAAGGTTCGCTGTAGGTGGTCACGTGCCTTTTCATGCTATTCGATTGACGCTAGCGGCATCTTATCCCTTTTTGATGCAAAGACCTACTTGTCACCATCCAGACACGAGAATTCTACGAGAGCCGTTTCCGCGAAACGGATGTACCTGACTCCACACGTTTGTTTTGCCTGAGCGAGAGGTTGCACATGAAGCATCCTACAATCGTCTGCTATCTCTCTACACGTACCCTGTTCCCTCCACCGGGTCGTAGATGCATAGAGTATGATATCACATGTGCGCTGCTAAAGCGTCGACTGGCTTGTTGTTTCTTGCTGTGGGAGGGCATTCTATGGTCATTTCAAGTGGGGAAAACCGCTCGTAAAACTGCTGAACAAAAATTTGAGACTTCGGCGCGGTATGAGCTTCGTCGGACTGCAACTTCTCAGCAAAGATGACCATGTCCACGTCATACCCTGGGACACCTTCGCGCACGGCTACCGTGTCGTTCGATGTCGCTTCTTCAACGCGCTCAGCCGGCGCAAGAGACGCTGACACGCGTCTTGAATCAACTCATTCCGACACGCAACTTCCTTGACGGCCCACTCAGCTTCAAGCGCTCGAACTGACGAAGTGGGTCCCTCACGCTCGCTGATCGTCGTTGCTGTCACTCGTCCTGATTTATATCCAGTGCAGCAGCTGTCGCTCAACGTGCGCCCTGTTCAGCCACTGGACATCATTGGCAAGAGAGTCCGGCGCCTGACCAGGCAACGAACGCTTCGCACATGAACCCCACGCGTAGATCGCAACGGACTCATCAGTTGTACCGACGCGTTCCGAACAATTCGCATCGGAGCACCTCGTAACGACTCTGCCGCATACAGAAAGTCCTTTTCTCTCCTTGTTCCCACGACTGACGCCATAGTCGTCACTCACGTGAAGAAAATATCCACTGCGCAGCGATATCCGAAAACGATCGCGTAACGGTATCCGACCTCAACAGATGGCGTTTCTGTTCCTCAACCGTTAGAAATGACGCGCCCGGCGTCAAGTGGTCACTCGATCTTTTCCAGTCATCGGCGCAGAAAATGGCTCGACGCGACTTGTCTGCTCCCGTCCGTCCTTTTCGCAGATTCAAAGGCGCCGTTGCAGCCGATGAAACGTGTGAGACAGCACAGGCAGCCGCGCGCGGGGTTTCTTCTTGCCTCTGTTGCATAAAACTTCCGGTTCGGCTTTCTAACGGGCGCTCCCGTTTCCATGGCGACAAAGTCAAGACGTGTCCATCGGCACACATACAGCCGTCAAGTGAGAAACAAAAAGCCTCGAGATGCGGCGTGCACCCCATCGAAGAACACCCCCACGTGGTCATCGCGACGACCTCTTCATTTCCAGTTTGATCGACTGAGTGCGACGTCCGTAGCAGAGCGATCAGCATGGCCGTGTCAGGGACACTGGCGGTCACGGGTGCGCATAGTATAACTACCTGTCTCCATACTGTCTGTGGTAGGTGGACTCGTACTTACTTCTCGCGTGCATTGCTGTTGTGCCACGATCGGTTGCAGTGCACAAGTTTGCCGTCGACGGGGCAAAGTCGGACGCGAAGTACAGTGTCCGACTACGAGTGGGCGACAATGAGGTCCAGACGAATGACGCGTCGGCCGGTGAAGCCATCGACGCGCCGGTGCACCTGTAAGACTGGATACTTTGTGTGTGGTACACGTGAATCGACGGTCCTAATGTATCCATTGTGTTGACACGATGCCAGCAATGTGACGGCGACGTCGGACGCGGAGCAAGTGACGTTTGAAGTGCTGCAGACGGGGCACGCGACGCCCATTGGCGTCTCGACCCGCTCGTTGCAGGAGTTCCTGCGCGGCTTTGACCGGCGCCAAATGTCGTTTTCGGTGGGCGACGTGTCGGCGCCGCAGACGATTGTGGTCACGCACAGCGCCCAGTGGACGCCGTCCACGAGCCGCTCGTTGACGCCGGCGGAGACGCACCGGCCGTGGTTTATGCGCGCGTCGTACTACTACGACACGACGAAGAGCGTGTACGACTACACGACGAGTTTCCGCGTGGTGAAGCCCTTTGCGCGGCTGGGCGAAGCGACGGTCAATACGGTGCTGGCGGCCGTCTCGGGCAAGACGCTGACGGACGTGGACCAGTCGCTGGTCGTGCCGGTGCTCAACTCGGTGGACAATAAAGTGGACGCGACGATTTCCGTGGCGTTTACCAAGTTGTACGCGGGGCAGCAGATGGTGGTGCGGACCAAGAACAGGGCCGTGCGCGCCGTGTCGTCGGTGGCGCACAAGACGGGCAGCACTGTGGTCGGAGCCACGAGTTACACGACGCACAAGGCGGCGCAAGGGGCCGGCGTCGTTGTCGGGGGCGTCGTGGGCGTGGCGGACTATACGAGTTCGCAGGTGCGACACGCGTCGTCGTCGACGTTTGGACTGGTGCGCGGCGTGACGTACTCTGTTGCGAGCCATATCCCGATCCTGGGGCCCAAAATACGGGCGTGAGGTGGGGAGCCGACAGCAGGTCACCTCACCGGTAACGGAATGAAAGGCAGTGGCGGCGTTGCGGCTGTGTCGAGTGGCAACGAGGGGGAGCGATGTGAGAAAAAGTGGAGGAGACTATAAGCGGTGTATGCCGTGTGGGGGAAAAGGTGGGGACGGGACGACGCAGCGGGGGCGCACGCCACGCGATAATTATGTGTAGCTACGTGGACGACGACCCCCAACATGACGCCGGCCCTCTTGTCGATCGAGAGGGCAGTGCTTGCGAGTGTTGGGCCGCGAGGGAATGGGAGAGATGACCGCGGGGTCGATTCCGACTGAAAGGGATTAACTGTGTGACAAAGGGGTTCACGTAGAGAGAAAGAAGCGAAGTACACTTTGGTTTTCTTGGAAATGCCGCAGCTCTTGAGGGTAGCGCGACGTCTGTGCTCTGTCCAGTGGCGTCACGAGCGCTCGTGCAACGTCACACTCGCGCCGACAGCTTCCGCGATGTGGACTGCGCTAGTGAGCCGTCGCGTCGACGTCAGTGCCTTTTCCTGCAGTCCTTTTGTCGCCTTGGGAAACAGAGTGCCATCGTCACTTGTGCCCATAGCTCGGAGAAAGTCAAACACGAGTGTGTGTAGTGCACCTACGCGTCGGTCGTCCACCAAGTCGGGAAACGCACAGCGACTTGTGTCATGCGCACCTGCTGAGTCTTCTGCGCAGATTCGAGAGATAGAGATAGAGAGAGAGAGAGAGAGAGAGAGAGAGAGAGAGAGAGAGAGAGAGAGACAAAACTCGTCGCGTGTGTCACCACTGCGCAAGTGAGAGCTCAATGGCGTACAAATACTCTCTGCGTTCACGTGTCCAGCAGCGCTCATTCACTCACTCACTCACTCACTCACTCACTCACTCACTCACTCAAAGCTCTGTCGATTCTCCTTCGCTTACGCCGTAAGTTTAGCGCCGAGCACGGGCACGTGCCTCAGAACAGCAACTGCAACGCCTTTGACCACATCGAGGGCACACGACGAGACGCACACGGCCTTCTCCGTCGCAAAGTCCTTGACGCTGACCACGGCCGCCCCCGTCTTCAGGGCCACGTGCGTCGCTGCTGCCAGCGCTTCGTCCTTCGTCTGCAGCGCGGTCTGTTGGGCGCTATAGAGCGCCGTGAGCACTGTCGAAACCCCAGCGTCCACGCAGCCGTCGAGGGCCGCAAGACTCGGGTTCACCCACGCCGCCTCAATGTCCACGAGCGACTTGCCGCTCACTGCCGCCAGGACCCGAGTGGCCGAGTGCTCCCCGAAGCGCGCGAACGGCGCGACCAGGCGGAAGCTCGTCGTGTAGCCATACACGCGCTTCCCCGTGTCGTAGTAGTACTGCGCACGCAGGAAATAGGGCGAGTGGACAGGAGCGACACGCGCGAGCGCGTCGTCCGTCGGCGTCGGCTCCCACTGCACGCAAAAGTAGAGGACCACTGTGGTGGGCGCTGCTGTAGCGCCGAACGTGAACGTCAGTCGTCGCTCGAGCGGCGCCTCGAGGAACTCGGCCAGCGGCTGCACCGTCGTCACGAGCGTCTTCCGCTTGTTCCCTCTCTTCTTGTGCACGATCGTCAACGTGACGCTCTGCTGGTCACTAGCAGTGGCCCCGTGCACCGGCAGCTGCAAGCGCTCATCGACCGCCGTCCCGAGCTTTGTGAACTTGGACGTGCGGCCGGCCTTTCCCACGACGAAGCGCACGGCGTGGGGCTTTAACGAGGTGGGGCGGGCAGGAGACGCTGCGGCTGCGGCTGCTTCGAGGCGACGCACGCGGATCGTGAGCGTGCCGGCCGTAAGGTGCGGCTGGACGACGGACGTCTTGCGGTCCATTTCCACGCCGGAGACGCAGACTCGTTGCGAGCCAAATGGCAAAACCGCTGGGCGGGTCGACGACGGCGAATGCCAAAGGGGTGAGAAGTGTCGGAGGGGGTCACGAGATGGGGCAGGAGGCGCTGCAGAAAGTGGGCTGGAAACCGGCTACCGACAAGCAGCAGCAGCAGCAGCGAGAGAGAGAGAGAGGGTGTGTGTGTGTGTGTGTGTGAGAGAGAGAGAGAGCGTGGAGGCCGTTTGGGGGTTGGCGTCGTCGATTAAGGACAGGGGATGATGGGCGATGAGCGATAGCGCGTGCCGAACGCGTACCGTCGACGGCAGTGTGGCACCGAAGTCGCACATGCCGCACGCGGTCGTGTCGTTCGAATCGACAGAGCGATCGCCATTGACGTGGGATAGTGGTAGCGAGTGTGTCCTCGTCGCAGTGCTGTTCATGCACTGCCAGCGCAGTGGGTCTCTCTCTCGCCCCTCTCATCGGTCTGCTTGAAGCTCCTGTCCGTCACAATGGACGTCCCGACTGGATCGACGTGACCCCACATGTCGATTTATGGCGCCGTCTCGACGTTTCGCAACACGCAGACACAACAATTGTAGCGCGTGGCAGCGACCCGAGCGCCCACGCGTTAAAGATGGCGTCGTCCCGTGTCGACGTGGGGCAGACCGAGACGCCGCGACGAGCAGCAGCTCTCGGTGTAACTTGTGGCTATTGCCGCGATTTGGATGTAGGGATGACGGGGAACGTTTGCTGCTCGCAGCGGTAGGTCCGTAGCTACAACGAGAGCTTCGAAGCTTCCACCCAAACGGTCCCGTAGAGGACCGGCAGTCCGTGTGTTCAATCGCATCACTCGGCTCTCTTTCACACGCAAACATACGGCAGTGCGTTGCAGACACCCCTATCCAACTGCGTCGTGGTCGTCCCAGCAGCTGTAAGTCTCAGCAGAAGTCACGTGCGCGGTGCATCTGTTGTAGCTTGCAGTGCAATCATGGACCTGACACCACCAACGACTTCCACTACAGAGGTACGTGTTGTGACGTTCGCGACGCATGCTTTCTGATGTCTGCTTACTTTGCCGCGTGGTTTGTCGACAGCGGGAGGCTGAGCAAGTGTGCTCGCATGTATGGAACGATGACCAGCATCGCGTCCGTGCATCACTAAACCATTCCAAGTCATGCATGACCGAAGGTGGCCAAAGCATCTGATCTGCCAATGATCATTCGCGCTACACCGACAATCGGCCACGCTTTCCCATTGAGAGCAAGCGTACACTTGCTGAAACAGGAGGTGCTGGCTTTGACACAAGCGACTCGCCGAGTTCTTGGACCCTTCTTGCCGAAGAGCACGGCGAGTGTAAGCTAAGTCCATTGATGGAGTAGCATACCCACTTCGAGCGTGCGAGTCGACGGGTAGTACAAGATCTAGGAAGGCTTTTGACTACACGTCAAGTGTGAGATGTGTTTAACTTTGACTACACTTCCGATTCGAGATGTGTTCAAGTTTCGCCGCGATAAGTATGACTGTTGATCCCGTGAAGCACTAGAAGCAGCTCAAACGCAACACGCAAGACTGACCGCCAAGAGCCACAACCGCTGCTTCATGCACCAATGTGTTACTTCTGTAGAGGACCACGAGATACGACAATGATGTGCGTGTTGTGATCAAGGCAACTTGCAGGGACAGTGATATTCGAACGTTTTGGAGTGAGTGATCAGTGTACGAGGGGGTTTATACATTCAGTCAGTAGTATTTAACTCTTAATACTACTTTCCCTTTTGCAGCACAGAGAAGTATTTTGCTTTCGTTTTAGGTTATGAGCCCCAATACGTTAGCTCCCAATGACATTCTCACGGATGATAATTACTTTATGTGGGAATTTAATGCACGTATGACACTCTCGCGCAAGGATCTTTTGGATCACGTATCAGTTAAGCCAGAGCCAGCAGTGCGGCGGGAGAATCCCGGATGGAAAGTCGCCGATATGAAGGCTCTGGCTGCGCCTGTAAAGTTGCTCTCTCCAACCTATCAGTGTATGGTTCGGGAATGTGAGTCTGCTATTGAAGCTTGGGAGGGTTTGAAGACATTCTTTGCGAAGAAGAATCTTCATAATCGAGTGCAACTTCGGAAGGAACTTCACGGGTTTGTGATGGAGACTAATATGAGTCTTATGGGTCATCTACTAAAGTTTGATGAGCTGTGTCGATATCTCAGGGCTTCCGGTGACAGCATGGATGATAACGAGAAGCTGGGTTTGCTTTTGGGAAGTTTATCATCTGAACATGATGATATGGTGCGTATAATTGAGGCACACAGCAACGTGACACTGCTTGACGCGAAAGAGATGCTCCGCCGGGAGTACGACACTCTTCAGAAGCGAGACAAGAAGGAAACCGCTTTCAAGACGGATGCTCAGCGCAATGAACCTCTACACTTTCAAGGGAACCGAGGATATCGTGGCCAAAGAGAAAATCAAGACCGACACCAGTCTTCGAGGAGAGTAAAGGATAATACAGGTTTTTCAAGGCAAGTGCTTTGGATGTGGCGAATGCACAGCATTTGAAGGCACAAGGAACATGCACAGTACGTTTTATACTCGAGAATGGTCGAACAGTCAATCTATCGGAGGTCTTATATGTGCCTGGGATATATAAGAAACGTGTGTCAGTAGCAGCGCTGACGGCCCGAGGCGTGCTTGTTCAGTTTAAGCGAGATCAAGCACTTCTGATGGGCGACAACGTGACTGTGGCAGTGATTAAACGAAGGAGAAAGCTGTTTGCGTGGAATGTAGAACAACATGCCACATTTAAGGCACACAAGGCTGATAGCAGTGTTGCGGTCAATGACTTGAGTGCAATATGGCATGCTCGCATAGATCATTTGTCTGCAAACAAGGTCGTACAAGCGATGAAGTCTTGTGATGGTAGCCTGGGAGTTGTTGTACCTGAAGACGGTTTATGTGATGGATGTGAACGCGGGAAATGACAAACAGACCGTTCAGTCATACCTCAGGAAGTTAAATAAAAACATAACGGCTGCTTGAGATTGTACACACCGATCTTATGGGTCCTATGAACCCGAGGTCAAAGGGTGGGTGTAACGGGGTAGCCCGTTGCATGAAATTGTCATTAAGGATAAAATGACACTAAAGAATATTACGTTAAATATAATTTCAACAATATCACAAAGAATGATGATATTGCTGGGATGACCGAAGGGTCTACTCTTGGTTGATATCATGATGGTATCAAACCACCGATCGCTGCTAGACGCGCGTAATGGGTGGAGAGTAGACGTAATCGTACGTTTCTTATATTAGCAAAATTAGGTAAGGACAAACAGAGACACAAGAGTTATAGGACTTAATTATACCAATGGCAGTTTTACTTTTACCATGACTAGAGCCTTCGTGTAACGGGGCACACCCTTGCGTGAACTTAACGCAAGGGTTTCGGTGCCCCGACAGACGTACACGTGGCAAGCGAGGAAGCGTAGGTAGGGTAAAAGCAGAACTGTTATATTAATATAATTAAGTCTTTAAACTACTGTCTCTCTGTTTGACTTAGCTTAACTATACTAATATAACTGGATGTATGGTGACGTCTCGTCACCACTCATTGCGCGCGTCTTGCGGCGATTGGTGGGTTGATATCATCAAGATATCAACCAATGAACAGACCCTTTGGTCGACCCTTCAATATCACCACTTTGGTGATATTGTTCAAAGAATATCCATCTTTATATTCTTTATTGTCACTTTCCTTAAAGTGACAATTCCATGTAACGGGCTGCCTCGTTACATCACCCCCCCTTAACTGATAGTCACCGTGTGACTATCGAAAATATGGCGGCCACCCGTTGGCCACCATTGGGACAGGGAGCACTTGTTGGGTCCGTTCCATTCACTTTCCGCTTGACCTCGCATAGTTAACATGTCTATGCGAGGTGACTCAAGACCTACACAGCCCGGTGCTGTGCCAGCCTCTGCGGCAGACGATTCGTCGTCTGCTGCTCCTTCTTCGCCTGCAGCAACAGGTGCTGCAGGTGCACGCAGCACCTCACCGCGTGCGCATGATAACCTCGACGTAGAGGTAATCTACTCTGGCGAGTCCGACGTGTCTGACTCGGGCAATGCGCCAGAGGCGTCTCGCTCACCGGCGACGCCTCAGTGTTCGCCAAGGCCACTGCCGAACGAACGGACTCGTGAGTTGCAACACAGTCTGTTCGGCAGTGATGACGAATCGGGTGATGAGTATGTTCGCTCATCACCGCAATCAGCTCGTGCTCCGTCGCACGAGCGACTTGACGATGGTGCAACCCATCGTCATGCTGACAATCGTGGTACCGACAAGGGTACCACCGTGAAGCGTGATGAGCTGAAGCCGTGGCGTTTGCCCGAACGGCTCATCAATAGCCTGTCTCACGAGACAGGCCAACACCATCGAATACCCTTATTCGATGCAACTGAGCTTCACGTCTTGAGTTCCAGCGCGAAGAACTTTCGCGCTGAAGAAGATTTTTATCTCGATGTCTTTCTTAGACATCGATGGTACAACAGCAACCAAAAGCGTGACAAAGCATCGTTTTTGGCTGCGTGGAACGCGTTCGTCCAAAACGTACAGAATTTTGGACGAGAAGGGTGGCTCAAGAAACTTGAGGCGACACGCCTCAGGTTCGAAAGGCGAACGCCAACCGGTGCTAGGTACCGGTTGCACTGTTTATCGAGTGAGGCAGGCATTCCTTGCCTCACATGGGGAGACCCTTGTGCGAGTTGTGTTGACAACTCGCAGCGTGCACATAGGGATGTGTATTCCCTAAGTTCGCCCTGGGGAAGGGCACACATCTCGGCTGAGATGCGTGACACGATGGCAAACTTGCAATCCGTCTACAAGCGCCTAGGGTGCGTGTTTACCGATGGTCCCGAGGACTCATCGGATGGGTCTCGTCATACTGGCGGACGAGACCTTCAACATCCATCAACAGCTGAGAGCGGGGCTCCCAGCTGTTC